TAGTTTCATTTTAGTTTTGTCTTGTCTCTGATTTTGGTAATTTCTGCTTGCTTAGCTTAGTCTAGTTATGATTAGATCTAATTTTCCTCGAATATTAGCCTAACATCTATCTTTCCTGCATGCTCGCGACCGGTTCGGTTAATCGCGCCGCGCGTCATGCGGCAGCGCCCCTCGGTCGGTTGGGCGGGAGGAGGGCTGCGTTCTGCTAGGTTCCGCGCGTAACAGGCTTTGGCTTGGTGTCGCATGGGCCACTTGATGGTGCAGTCATTGCATATCAACGTCCAGAATTAGGCTCTATATGTGATGAGGACTGAAGATAGGACCAGATAGCGAGAGATGTAGACAAAGATCGATAAAATTAGTTTTGCGAAAAAACTTCATACGACGTTTTGAAGGTAAAATGGTGTTAGTAATAGAGACCTCGAAAAATATAGATAAAGTAGGTTGATGCGGATCTTCAGGAAACTATATCGGATTGCCTCTTAAAACCGTTGTACGAGAGGCATCGCTGACAAAGATGAGATCTAACAGTCTATCTCTATTATTTCTGACAGAGTTAATTTGGGCAAGCGAGACGTCAGTTACCCCCTCGACAAAATCATGTTGACTTCCAGGTAGCAACATGTTTGAATTATCCTGTTGCCAAGATAGAGATGGGATGTTGAAGTCACTCATGACTAGTATCTAATCAGCACAGAACGTGAAAGCACAGCACGTGAAAGCACAGCACGTGCAGAAAGGTGGTTTAAATAATCAACGGCATCAGATCTGGGTAGGATATAGGAACAGGTCAGAATTCTCTTTTACAGGCAAACCCGATAGACAGAGAGAGATAGCCAGACTTAGAATTCCTTGCACCATGGCACTCATACTTAAAGTGAGCACCTTAAATATGTAAAAAAATGCACAGATGTGTCTGCCCCTCAATGTGTTCCGTCCAGTAATTATTTTCCGATAACTCGCACTGCTTACCGCAACCCACTTCTGTAAACCTTGTTCGACGGTCAAGCCGTTTTCCTTAATTTTTGTGGAAATTACAGGCAAAGGGAAGCCTAATTACTACAGTTAAGAATATTAGAAAATACATAGTGGAAGAAATTTTGAGAGGAGGTGTAGTGGAAAACGCATACCCGCTCGGGCGGACATTTTTCAGGCGAAGAATGATGCCAATGGGACGGTCTTAAGCTAAGTAATATAAGGGAAAAATATCTAAAAAGCTCGCCGAAGCAAGCAAATAACTATAAACTAGTTAAGGACTATTTCAATTAGATGACCCAACCAGTCCAGACGTGGGCCTGTACCAGCAACAGACAAGCCACCAGCCTCAGACCAGCACCACCCTCAGACCAGCACCAGTCCCAGCCCAGTCCCTGACATGCCCTGTCCTGCCAATGATGATGACGACGCCCTTTCACCATAACTGCAATTTCAATTAGCGGTTTGTGCTACTTTTTCTATGACCAACTTTGGCCACTTCAAATTGCTTAATTAAGCCCAGGAAAAGTTTCGCAAATACCCCAGAGAAAGACAGGACAACAGACAGAAAGACAGACAGATGGACAAGCAGATGGGGGAGATAGAGAACTCGGAGACCATGATTTTAACCGTCGAAATAACGACTGCGTTTTTAATAGGCAGAGAATACCACATAAAATGAGATCCAGGACGCATAGATGGTGCGCCCGCTACAGTCACCAACAACATCAGCTGCCAATGGTGGCACTGATGCCAATGCTGCCACTGCCTGGTCCGCCATCGTGCAACATTTTATGACTTTTAATTGTCTGCACTTTTGTCACTCTCCGGCAGTTGTTATTGTTCTAAGTCTCGAACTTTACTGCATATTGCCTTCAGAGGGATGCGTGTGCAGTGTACAATATAGAAAACATGGCACAGCACACCATTTGTTACTTTCTTTTTATTTGCCTGAAAAGTTTGCCACATATATTTTGTTTTGTTTTATCTAATCTCTTAGCAAAAAAAAGCCAAACCCCGCCTCCGATCAGGTGAAGGAACATATTTTATGAGTTTATATTTCATTTTTGGAGACTCGCAGCCATTTTGTCGTTCTTGTTATGGTACATCCATTGAGTGGGTAGCAGGGGTTTAGGGGGAAAGCTCCTGCCATGCGTTATCCCGAGTTGGAGTTTTAAAATAAATATAAAAACACATGTGCCAGATTATACAAATGGGGCGATGGGGCATAACTCTGCGCTCCTCTGCCTGATTCATATATGGTATGGGGAATGGGATGTGGACTGGAAAGGGGACTAGAACGGAAATTGCATTTGATATAGATTAGAAGCGCACAATAATATATGACAAGAACTAGCTATACTTGCTCTAGTTTAGTTGTGTTTAGTTCTAATTTTCCTCGAATATTAGCCTAACATCTTTCCCGCATGCTCGCGACCGGTCGGTTGGGCGGTAAAAAATATTTATGCACAGACTTTGACAAATTTGCTGTATAAATGTATACGCGATGGTTTTTTACTTATTCTTAGCTCTCCCGTAATTGTAATTTGTTGTAAGGTTTCAATGGTTTTATAAACCTATTCATGATAAAAGTAAAGTGTGCAATGCAACATCAAAAACTCTCACTTCATAATGTTACAAAAATATGGAAAGTTTGCTGAAACTCCAAGACAGAAAACCTCTCTCCAAAACCTTATCTCAAATCGTTAATTCAAAGTATATACATGAGTATATACATACGAGGTCTGTCAGATAAGTTTCAAACCTGACAATACAACAGAAGTCAACAATTGTCTTATTCTAAGTACCCACCACTGCAGCCCTCCAAAAATAATAGTCGTCCTGCTCTTCAAAATGACAGTTTGAAAAGGGTATGCCTCCTTTTTTTGACGAAAATTGTGGTCCTCCAAGAGCACCTTTAAGCTTAGCTAATACAAATAAGTCACCCCATTCGTGAATTTTTGCTTCAAAAATGCTGATGTTTCTGAAGGTGGATTAAGCTGAAGAAACATTCATATACCCGGTACTCGAAGAGCAAATAAGGTATATTGTATTTCTGGTCGGAGCAAAGTGCGTAACGAACAAAAGGAAACTGACCCCATAAAGTATATATGTATCTTCTGATCAGCATAAGTAGCCGGTCGATATAGCCTGTCCGTCTGTCCGTCCGTCCGTCTGTTTTGATTCTACAGTGAGAAAGCTTTAGCAAGAAAGTTTTGCGTCCACACTTCTTTATGCCCACACAGCAGTGCACTGTTACTAGTGTATTTCAAATTTCGCTCCGGCCTTTTTCGCCACCACAAATGTCGAAAATCTCTCATATCCACAATTATGAAAACTACAAAAAAAATTAAAAACTCAGTTCTGTAGAGAATGACCATCTATCAGTTAATATCGGCTCAGATCAGTATTATTGAATGAAGAAAACATAAGCATTGAAAAACATACGGTTACATACATACACATGTATCACACTAAGGTTACTTACATAGGTAAATATATACCGACTGAGTACCGGTTTTAAAAGTGAGACACGTACGAAGCGCCTAAGAACGTTCCTCCTCGTTTCTTCAGCAAGTGAGGCTTCTTTTCCGCAATTGTATTTATTAAAAGATGCCTAATCACAATAGTTTGGCTAACTTGGAATGTGGTTTTCGTTTCTGGCCAGAAACTTATGAGACAGCCCTCGTACACACTCATAATCACTGACTCAATCCACACAATTAAACTTAATATGCCACAGAACTTGCAACTTTTCAACGGCTTTGGCCATGTGGGCCACTTGTTAATGCAGCCGAAACTAAATATGCAGCATATTATCTAACACATAATCGCCCCTTAATCGATGCCACAGCAGCTGTTGCTTCTATCAACTTTTAATGATAATTCCTTTTCACATGGGCCGCCAAACGCTCAGCTGCTGTTCCTGGACACTACTATAGTAAAAATACTACCAAAAACAGCAACAAAAAGTGTGGTGAGGTGGACTGGGGGAAATGGTGATGGCGAGATGGCGTCACTCGACTCGACGCTTCTTACGCGTCACAACTTTTATACCCGGCACACAGTACTACATCTGCCAGTTAGCGGTGTTTTGTCAAATTTTACATTTTTTCTTCAACTGTCAACTACATCTAGAACACTTCTCACACCAACACGCTCCTTTACCTCGCCGCCCTTCCCTAGACCCACACACTGCAGACTCGCGGCAGAGGCAGCGCCCGCACACAAAAAAAAAACAAATATAACGGGTGGGACGGGACGGGGTGGGTTAAAAGTCGGCAGAGGCAGAGGCTGAGGGACGGCAGAGGCAGAGGCCGAGTGAAGCGTGGGAATGTGGGAATGTGAAAAGAACAACAAAAGCTGCGGGACAGGGTGGGTTTAGCCACTGGAAATTAATTTCTTCATTGTGGCTATAATAATGATCCCAATTTGGTGATCTGATAGATATGGTCATTTCCTACGGAATGGTATTTTTAGTTTTCTTTTATCTTCAAAACTGTAGGTTTGGGAGGTTTTAGCCTTTTTGCGGGGGCGGAAGGGCTCACTTTTTAAATACACTGGTTTCAGTGTGAGCATATAGCATTCTGGATGCAAAACTTGGTGGCTCTAGCTCTTATAGTCTCTGAGAACTAGCCGACAAACAAGACGGACAGACGGACCGACAGACATGGCTCTATCGACTCGGCTATTGATACTGATCAAGAATATGTATACTTTATGGGGTCGAAACGTTTCCCACAAATACAATATACCCTATTTACTCTTCGAGTACCGGGTATAAAAACAGAAAAGCAACCAAATAAAAGGCTACAGCTGACGGATGTACTGTGCTTTTATTTCGCCTTTTGTCTGACAACAATTGTAATTGTAATTTGGTTATGTATTATTTGGGACTACTTTTACTAACTTAACAACAAAATACAGCTCACTTTACATCACGGTCATTGTCTCTCTTCGTTGGTGTTGGATTTTGCAAAAAACAATTCCTAATTTCTTAATTATTTTAATTATTTTTCCCACAGTTCAAAAGAAGTCAAACGAAAACAGTTCCACACACACAATTCACAAGATTGGTGCACCAGCAGAGCAGGATCATGGCCGAATTGCCTGGATTGTGATAGGCAGTTTACTGGGCACCACTGTGGTGGCTTATGTGAGTATAAACTAGAATATATTCCACACAAAATAAAACATATATGAACTCCCCTTCTTTCCCCTCTTCAGCTCATCCTCCTCACATACAGACGTTGCACCCGTGCTGTCAACTCTATGAACTTTGAGAATCCCGTGTATCACAAGACTCCCGAGGATCACTTTAGTTTGGAGAAGAATGTAGCGCCGCACATGTATGCCACAGCCATGGTTGAGGAGGTAAGTGGGTCTGGCCCACCGCTGGCCACAAATCCCAATGACTTTAGCTATGTCAGATTTTAGGAAGTTAATGTTGTATATAGCTGACTAAGTGTATGTATGCGTATCATAGTTGTATCTACGATTATGTTAACTATTGTTAGTGTAAGTTTAAGCTAAGATTGTGGGTCCCTGAAAGAGTTGTGAATATTTTCACACTCAATTGATTGTTTTTTCATACCACTAATACTCACTCACATAATTTTAAATGCTGCGAGTCATCCAGCGCAACAAAGCGAAACAAACCGCAGACAGAATTTAGCCAATAATAAAAACGGTAAGTTGTGGTAACCAAATACAAATTTGAAAATTATCGTCAATAATTTTATTACATAATTGTTGTATGTGCACCATTTAATAATCATTTTCATTTGGTTGTATTTGATAACAATCTTTGCTCTTTGAGGGCCTAACCCTGCAGCCGGCGGCGCTTCCCCGCTATTTACAAAGCGACAAATGCAATCAAAATTGTGCATATCAATTGAGCAATTAACTAAAAAGGCCAATTAAACGGCGTCTGTGGTGCGTCAAAATGTCCCGCAGCCCCGACAGCTGCAAAAATAATACGGCAGTCAGGGGACTGGGTTTGGAGAAGGACACGGACAGCCTTGGGACAGCACAGGGATCCCGCGATAATGCACGCGATTCGTTGACAATTTTACTAAAATATTCCAATTAAATTATTTTTTGTTTGTGTCACTGCTGCTGCTTGGTTGCCAATTTAAGTGAAAGCGCTTAATTAATTAATACAACAAGCAAAGGCAGAAAATTCCGCGCAGAGCTAGCGTGAAATAATGCATTATAATAATTACGCCAAATTGAACAAAATGACATTAAGAGAGATTTTCTGTTCGGTGGCCGCAGTAACCAAAAATATGACGTATTTTTCATAACCGTACAGCGAACTCCGTACGGGTTTTTGGGCCACAAGCTTAGCGGTTAGCTCTTTTCATTATAATTGTTTAATTAAATATAAGCATTTACGAGAGTGGAGTGATTGGCAAATCTCTCGCTTTCACGCTGGGGATTAAATAACAGTTAAATGAAGGATTATGGGGAAATGCATAAAAACCAATTACCAACTAATTTTGTTTTTATAGTGGGTTTTATTATAATATTTTTGGATAGTTATTTGTTTGCTTTATTGCTTTGAAAATCTCTGCTTCCCACTGACGAATAGTCATTAAAATCTCCAGACGCCCGCTCAGACAAGATTTGCAAAAAAATTTCTTATGGCAAGATACTCGTATATGTATGCAAAAATTTAACTAAAAAATGACAAAGAATATCTTTGATATCGGGTTAGCTGGTATTTTTTAATTTTATATTGTTTTATTATTACTAATGGTTATTTTTGTTTGCGTTTATTTTTATACGAATTTAAGTAGAACTCATTATTATTATCTTTTCCCATACAAGTGTAATTGTGTATATCACTTTTTTATTGCTTCTCTTACAATTATTATTCCATATTTATTTGTAGATCTCTCACATTTATTTATTTTCCTAGAGTTATTCGTAGTAAATCTTTTTAACTTCACTAACCAAATATTATTCTCTCTATCTCTCTTTCCCTCCTCTGCGCGTTTAGTCTAAAAATCCTTTGCGTGAACGTGGCACCGAATGTGTTTAGGGCAGCCCCGGCAAAAATATCCACTTAAATGCATATCCAAAAAGTTGAAATACTGGCCGTGTAGACCAAGGAGAGGACCGCAAAGAACAACATCTCCTCCAATTAGTAATTCCGTTAGACCAAGGTCCCACTCAACTCATCTCAGCGCAACTCAACGAAAACGGATAATGAAAGCTTAATAGGAAAATGCTACTGGCAAAGCATCAATAAGAGGAAACTTTCAGTTAGAAATAAGAAAAACGAGTAGGAACGTTTGTAAGGCGCGTTGTACGCGTCACAACTTTTATACCCGGTACTCAGGCAGTATATGTGTCTGTACCTTAGTGGTTTTAAATTTTGTTTACATCTGTCATCGACATCTACATCCCTCCACAGCCAAAACGCCCTTTTAGCTCGCCATCGAACAGGGACGCACACTGCATGAGGCAGAGTGTGCGAGCGAGAAAGAATGACTACAATAAACAACCACAAGGTGCCACTGCAAATTAATTTCTTCATAATTTATAATTTCGTCCTTCCCTACCGAATTGCATTTTAAGTTTTCTCTTATCTTCAAAATTGCGGATCCAGTAGAATTTCGCCCTCTGTGCGATCGGAAGGGCACTTGTAACAGTGTGACAACCCAGCCTTCTGGATGCAACATTTGGTGGCTCCAGCTTTTATAGTCTCTGATATCCAGTCGCTTATCAAGACGGACTGACAAACGGACATGGTTTTATCGTGTCGGCAATTGATGATGATCAAGAATACAGACATCCACTTTTTACCACAAATACAAAATACCCTATAAAAAAGAATGCCAAAAAGGATAGAAAAACAGCAGTAAACGGGAAAAATGAAAATACTCAGCAAATTCAATTTGTTGCCTAGCTTACAATTTCATTTAAATTTAACGAATACTAACGCCGACAAACACACATACGCCCACACATTTTCACAGATACATACATGTGTACTCCCGCACACATATTGCACGCACACATAAACTAAAAAAAAAAAAATAAAAACAATAAAACTTTTTCTAGGCTCCACGCTTTGACATCGACTAACGGCGAGCCGTTCACACACATACACTCTTACATGTCAACACATATACTCTCACACATACAAAACCCCACGCAAAAGGAGAGACGCGTGCACTCGAGTGCCACGAAGCCATTCGGAGACAGTAACTCAAACCTCCAACGGTCCCTTTAAGTTCATGAAATCAATTGTAAAAAGTTAACAAAAAGTTGAAGTTTGATCAAGAAAGAAACATTTTGTGAAATTCGAAAAAAACGAAAAGAAAAACCTAAAAGCACAAATTAAAATCTTTTTATAGCCCTAACAATTACTGTGACTAGCTGTAATAATTTTGTTGTTTTTGCAACAAAACCTAAATCAATAATATAAAGAAATTTCATGGATAAACTATTAAAGACAAATTTTGTAGCAGCAAGTTTTGAATAGATTTTAGCTAAAAATTTGAATTGTTGAAATTTAAAATTTTTAACAAGACATGTATGTAAATACATTGAAAAAAACTAATAAACACAGAGAAAATATACAATCCGAATAATACAAACAAAACTAACTTTCGGAATTTAAAACGCGTTGTTCATCCCCCATTTATCCGCTTATTATCATTAGCCTTTCTTCGTTTCCATATGCGTTCCTGGGTATTTCAAAACAATTTGCTGTGATCAGTTTAAAAGCATTAAACCTACATTAAAATCACCTTATTTGTAGTACCTTCAATATTATATTCTCATTTATTTAGTGTGTAGACAACAAAGTTTTCAACTACTTTAGTTTATTAAAAAATTATACACAAAAAATAAACAAAAGAAATAAAAGGGAAATTATATACATATGTACATACATACATATATATAAATATGTTTTTGGCAAATTTTGGTTCCTGTGAAATGTATTTTAATTTAAGCTAAAAATAATTGGTATATGTGAAAAAGTTAATGAAGATTTCTGATAATAAATTAATGCAAAAATAAATAAACTTTAATGAAGACAAAAATAAAGACGAATTTCAAACAAATGTAAAGATATGTTTTACGGAATGAACTGTAAGGCAGAGTCGTACAAAAGATGCCGCTAATGGAAGTCTCTCTCAAGTAAGAATAAGAAGGAAAGTAGAGGCCCTTTTCATTATGCCGATAAGCCTATTTCACACAATGTAAGTCCATTACCTAGCTAGAATGTTACTTCCACCCATAACATATACTATTATAATTATCATTAAATTCTTTATGTGCAGCTCATCCCAACTATTATTAGCAACTGACACACTCGTGGCTGCTCGTGTAGGATTGTTAGTTCATCCAAGCAGAAATCGAGTAGCTATGTAATTGTGTCTACACATTTTTGACTTGGCCCCACTCAGACTCAGCCTCTGACACAGCCAGACCCACAGACACACACACTTATCCAGCCATGAATTATTAAATGCTAATGGACTGCTACGGCAGTTTTTTCACATGAGAGGGCATTAATACGTAATGAGGCTCATCCGGTGACCTATTGATAAGCTGAATGGGAGTTTGAGGCGGGGCAGGACAACATTTGAGGCGTCAAATGAGCAAACTCCATTGCAGTCTATAATGACACTCCGCCCATTGCGATGGAGAATGGATTCTAGGTGGATTCCTACTGACTCGGATGTGGTGTTCGATTGTCCGTTAAATCGACTTCCTAAGCATCAGCAGATTTTAATTACGTGCCCCAGTATTTAACTTCGACATTGGCACTGTTAAAACAGGCGTGGGAGGTAAACTTTTGTTTAGTTAATTTATCGTGGTAAATTACAGAAACAAAACGGACTATTATCGATAGATTTAGATATATATCATCAGACCATTTTTAAGTCACATATCTTTTAGTAAAAACTGGTTTGGTTCATAGAGGAAAACGAGTCGGGTAGTGCAAAAGTGTCGAGGTCGACGCCAGTTTATGCCGCTGGACCCTGTTAGGGGCAAGGGGAAAGTCGGACGCTGCGATTTCAACGAATAAATACGTTTTGTATGCCCTTCGGTGTATTTAATGCTATATAAATTATGGTACGCGCCTGCAAGCAGGCAACATTATTTTTGTTTATTGCCAAACGGACAGCCTGCTGTCAGCAGCATGTCGTTTCACTATGGTCCCAATGACCACTTTTCTTGGCCATAAGCTAATTTTTAAAAGTTAAAACCAAGACGTGGTTTTTGGCGCGCTGTATTAGAAAAAGAGTGACCATCAAAGTTGCGTACCAGAAATTTCCATAGATGGCGCCACCTGCGCAAAATCAGCAGTGAAACAAACCCAGCGGTCATTATTGCGCAGCATGTGTAGTGAAAAAATGTCAATTTAATTGCTGTTTTAAAAATCTCATAAATTGAAAAATACGATTAACTGATCCAATTTTTTGGATGCATTTTATTCAGTAGGGTTTTTAATACGTGTTTTGTAATGTGAACGGTATCTAGGAGTTGGCGATGTTTTCGTAATTGTATGCTAAAGTGAGGCCTTCAATATGTATCAGTTCGTAGTAAAAATAAATTTTTTAAAAAGGTTTTTTTTAATAGAGTGCCACATAGTCCCACCTTGAAACCTATTTTTTGTCGTAGAGCAATAAATTATTGTTAAAATGTATATAGTCAGAAATCCCACATTTGACCACAACTCTTACAATTTGCATTTATAGAGAAATTGAGAGATTGCCGTTTGGAACACAATGAAGAAAAAAATGGTGAAGTAGGGTGCCATATTGCATTGCATTTAAGCCACAGTATGCGTCACTAGCTATTTTGGAGGGCTAGAGTTTATATCCAGTGTAATATTGTTTTATAATGAAAACTCCTATTATGAATGCTTCGTGGGACAAAAAATGCGATTCTATTGTATTTTAAAGCCTTGCTATTCTTAACTAATATCAAAAAACTAAATCCGAAAATCTTGATTCGTTCGCGAGTTATTAATTAAGGACACGAAAAGTGGTCATTGGGACCATAGTGCGTTAGTGAAGGATCGGGAAGGAGAACCAGAGGAAGCTGCTTGCGGGGGCGTTATAAGCGGAATCGATTTGAGTCGATTACACGGTACGGCAGGCGCACGTTTGCCATGAAAATAAAATGCAAATAAAAAAGCGACACTTTTGACACACGGCACCGATAACTTTTTCAATTTAGATATGATCCCGAAAGTACGCCGGATAATCCCTCCTGCTAATGCATGGTAGATGCGTGTGTGTGTGTTTGTGGGTGTATGCCATTCCATTAGCAATATGTGGCCAAATGGCAAAACATTGTCCCTCTGCCTGCTGTTCTGGCTGCTCCTCGGTCTGCTGTAGGAAGCGCTGCTGCTTCTCGTACGGCTCCTCATGCTGCGCCAAGAGCAAACTAAGTGAAAGCTACGAGCATGTCGGGCCAGGGGACCCAACTTGCACATAAAGGAGTAGGGAATAAGGGACAGGAGCTAGTGAGTGAGTGTGTGTGTGGGAGTGTGCTTGTCTGTGTGTGGCAGGATGAGGATGAAAATCTGCAATTCAGCCGGAACATAGCATACATTTTGTCGTTTTGTCAGCCGCAGGCGGCCACCAAACAAAAACTCCCTCACCCACAAAACACACCGAGCAACAAGAGCGAGAAGGAGAGAGAACGAGTTCGAGGAGGGTGCGAGCGACAGTGAGAAAGAGTAAGCACCAAAACCCAATGAGACGGAGCATCTGGCCAAAAGAAAAATAACGAGGAAATGTGGCCAGAATTGTGGCTGTAGCCAGCGGCGAGAGGGTGTGTGGAATAGTGCACTCGACTGTCCACCTCTGTGTGACTCCTGATGCAAGAAAAATGTCTATTGGTAACGCTGCTGTGACTGTACTTAGCGATGCGCAGCCAAATATAACGTCTTCTCTTTTTTATCTAGTTTTGTGCTTTTGCCTGCTTTCTGTCAAAGGCAACTGCCATTGCATTTCATGCCTGCCAATTGATGGCTGATTGTCGCTTTGAATTATTACAGCTTATATTGGACGGACAAGTGGGAGAGAAAATTTCGCTCTTTGACTAGCTTTAGTCTGGATTCGAACACTTAATGGGATGGCAGCTGTACTGGTGGTTTATTGATAGGTATGTGAGGTGAAGATAATGATAAGAGCTTTAATATTTATTTAGACATAGGAAATGCTTTTAAAAGTGTATTTTATTAGGGATTTTGCGCTATATTTCCAGGTACATATTTTGATGACTTTTAATTGAACTTCTACCTAACATTATTGTTATGTTAATCGCTCAATTGGTTGTCAATTTCTGTATTTAGCTGTACTTAACTTAGCCTGTCCCATGTTCTTCTATGTGCTCCTGACTTTAATTACGGGCCAGGGCAGTGGACCTCACTGTAGAAACCCCACTGCAGCTGTGCAGCGATTTCAACGCACCTTGCCGTTGAACAGCGTCATGTTTGCACATCCTTGCAGTGCATTGCAGCTTCGGTTCTGTGGTCCTATGTTTTTATTGCTGGCA